ATATCTTTAGTAGCTTTGTGCAAAGACCCTATAGATGATGTTACAAAATTCTTGCAACTAATTAACAAAAAGAAAAATTGAATATTTCAGTAATTTCAGAATATATTCTAGAGTCTAGACTAAATCATCCTGACTAGTAACTTATAGATATGTATCGGTAAAGATTTCTAGTTAAAAATAAAAATTAACAAAAATGGACGATGCCCGATACTCAAAATTACCCTTGACACCCTACCTAGAGGCATAGTCATAAAGAAAACTACGGGTTAATAACTAAATACTTATTTCTTTCTTCTTCTTCTTCTTTTCATTTTATAGACTGGTTTCAAGCAGCAAGCCAGTTTTTGATTTGAAATTTTTAAAGAAATTTGCTAGAGACCACCTCCGTACAAGATTTATGATAATTTATTATCAATATGTTATATTTTTTAGTTGAAAACGATGCGTGAAACGTTGTTTGAAATTCAATTGAGATTTCACAATAAATTTTCATTTTATAAAAATGCAGCTCCTTTTTTTCTACTTAAAAAATATTTTATATAAAACTGGCAGGGGCGTCACTGGTTATTTAAAAAAAAAAACATATTTTTCATTAAACAATGTCGTTTGCTGCTTGAAAGCAGTATACAAGATGGCAGTGGTTTAAAAATTATGGTAAAAAAGTGTTTTTTCTTTTCCTAGATTTTCAACGCTTTGTATCTCGAAAAGGAACCTTTTCCGAGCATATGTTTATATAGTAAACTAGAAAAAGGTAGGTTATGCATTTGGTGGATTAATTTCGGAACCAATGAATTTACGCTGCAATTACTAACTTCTATAGAAAGAAAGTCAATGTCGAAAAATAATAATTAATATGTAGTAAAAGCCATATCTAATGTATTAAACATATGAAAACGTTTAGCTGCTAGCTGACGCATGGCAGGAAGATATAAACACTGACGTCATGAGCAATGAGAGCGCGTTCTGGTAACTCGGACCAATTTATTTACTTTTTTTTTTTTCACTGAAACTGATGGATTGAAGTTGTTTTATTATTGGGATCATATCGCAAAAACTATTTTTGATCATTTAGAGAGACAGGTCATTATTATTATGTTGGCTAGTGACTTATAACTATAGATATGTATGCGTAAATATTTCTAGTTAAAAATGGAAATTAATAGAAATGGATGATATCAAATACTCAAAATGACCCTGCTATAGGTTTCTTTAAACATTGACACTTTACCTAGAGGTATAGTTATAAAGAAAACCAGGGGCGAATAACTGAATACTTATTTCAAGAAGTAGAAAAAAAACATAAAGGACGGAATATCAAACACTAACAGGAATAATTACTATATCTTACTAACAACGAAATGTAGCTTAGAGCGAAGTAGTAATAATTATTTGGTTATCTTGTCTGCACCGTACTGTAAAATTGGCAGCGGCGACGACCATGACCACGAAAGAATGCGGAAAAATGTCCGGTTTACTTAAAATGCTAACTTGTGAATTTTTCGGAATTTCTTAAATAACTAATACTAAACTTGTTTTATTGCTAATTTACGACTCGCGGGCAGACAGACATTGGTAGTAAAAGCTTTGGAAGAAAACGTGATGATGATTTTTAAACAATAACTACCTCCGTACTAGATTTGTATGGAATTTTTCTTTAATGTCTAATTTTCACGATTTCGTCATGCATCAAAATGTTTTTTTTTAATATTTTTGTTTACTTAAAAAATATTTTATACAAATTTGCCAGGGGCGTCACTGGTTAACTTAAAAGAAATGTTTTTCATAAAAAAATGCCTTTTGCTGGTTGAAAGCAGTATACAAAATGGCACTAAAATATTCAGAGTGGTTTGAAAATTAGAATGAAAAAAGTTTTTTCTTAGATTTTCAACGCTCTCTCGAAAAAGAATCTTGTCGGGACATATGTTTATATAGACAACTAGGCATTATTTTCGAAGTAGAATATCCATTTGGTGCAATAATTTCGGAACAACCTGTATAATTGAAAGGGATTTACACTGCAACTACTAACTTCTTTAGAAATAAAATGTTAGTCAAAAAATAATAATAAATATGAAGTAAAAGCCATAACTATATAATATATATGAAAATGTTTAGTTGCTAGCTGACGCATGGCAGGAAGATAGAAGCATGAGGAATTAGAGCGCGTTCAACGAATTCGGACCAATAAGCTGATTTCTTTCTGTTTTTTTCGCTAAAACTGATGGATTGAAGTTTTATTATTTGGATCATATCGTTAATACTATTATTGATCATTTTATGATAATGTGGGGAAATTTATTTTTGAAAGAGTTGCCCTCTGGTATGTCGAACACTATTCGATTCTAGGAAAATCCCGAAATAAATTAGAGCGGGTTCGTTCATCACTCGTGCTTACGTTCGCTAGGTTTTGGTTAACATTTCGCGAAATTAGGTTCCGAAAATACTATAAACAAAAAGTCCGATTTAGAATGCGGGATCGCGGGCCGGATGTTTGGCCACGTCTGAGCGCGCCCGAGTTTGTTTTTTCGTTTGTGGAACGTTTGAAGGCTTCGCGCCAGGGCACTGCAAAGTTTACTTCCAGCAAAAAATTAAACAATCGCTATACTCGGATGAAACTGTTAACTAACTAAAACTCACCGAACTAAAATAAAAACTAGCATAGATTAATATTTTGCAGCACAGGACTGGCCAAATTGTACACTCCCCTTTCTAAAGGAGGATATTTTTATATATAGAAAAAATGATTTGATCCGTAAAACATCCGATGTGTTACACAGCATAGTACTTCAAGAGTCGACTATTTGAAGAAGTCTTTTGGGAATTATGAAATTAACTTAAATATTTTTTGCCCGATTTTGTAAAAATTTGGCAATGTCATTTACCATGTTAAAGTTGTTAACTTGTTTAAAATTGTGTCCAGTTTTGACAATTTTTGTTATTTCGTTTGAATGAGCTACTAAAAATCTAACTTTTTTGACCCTTGAGTTTCCGTATCTGGCTTTGTTTTCAACCAAAAAAATTAAAATCATGAAAATGAACATTAATTTTTGGACCATTTGAAACAAACCTAGTTGCAAAAAATTAACACTCAAGAAAATAATGGAAGAGACCAGCACCTTCATTGTAGGCATAACGACCAAGGTAAAAAATTTCTCACAAGATGTTTTTTTTTTATATTTATATTACTCTCTAACCAAGTGTTGGAAAGCGCATATTTCTTCAAGTTCCTTGCATACGCAAATATCGGTTCTGGTAGAATACAGTAAAGGTAAAAGATGGTATCGACGAAGGAAGTATTAACCGATTTATAAGACGGAAAAAATTTTAACTAGCGTCTCTTATGAGGTTTGGTAAATTTTTCGAAAAACAAGGACACTTCTCTGAATGCCATATGCCGGTATTTATTTTTCTCCTGAATCGACGTTTCCATCCATTTTATCCGCGTTTTTCTTTTTATTTTCACAATTTCATCCAGTTCACCTTTAAACACGCCTAAAGCATCTGAACGCTTATCCAGACCCCTCGGAGGCATCAGCATTAAAAAAGAACTCGCCAATTAACTGAATTATCCGTTCCCTCAAGGACATTCTATTTGACGAAAACAAGGGATGCAACCTTTATGTATGTGGAGACCACATACCCGTACTTTAAAAGCTTTGAAAGATGGCGGGATATTACTTTCAACATTACCTTTTGTGTATAGCGGGATAATGGTTGGAGATATCTAGCATGTTTCTCGAAAATATGCATTAAAAAACGTACTTACGTAGAATTTGATGGTTTAAATATAATATTTTAAAAACTTATACTTCAATATTTATGAACAGAAAAAATGTTATATTACATAGTCTTCCCTGTATATTTTTAATTCTTTTAAAAAAACTTCAAAAAATTATACAAAAGTTGGAAATGAGGTTCTTGAAAATTCAATTCAATTTTTGTTTACAGCTGGCTTCAGTTTCTCCATTTCTAGATTCTTTATGAAAAAAATTTTTTTCCAAACCAATAACAATTAGATGTTACGCTATTATTAGATGTCAATTATAAAATTCCCTTGGTTTAGTGTAAAGAATATAAAAATGCGTAAAAGTACGGGGTGTCCCATTTCAGTTGTGATACAAGTTATTCAACATAAATTGGGACACCCCGTATGCAAACTAGGCTTGCAGAATCGACCAGTCAAATTTTGTTATGTGTATGGACCGAAATAATTTAAAAAATAAATACAATTTATATTTATTTATATTGTGCGTTATGTCGCCATCACCTCGTTCTGAGTACTAAATGGAGTGGATATTTTTATAGGGATTCTCCGTATCACTAAGTATCTTATTCGGTTTTTCCTTGAAATTTGACACACTAACACTCTATAATTGTTGTTTAAAACATTTTGATCGAATTTGGCTAGTCAATTAAGAAGTGGCCAATTGACCGGTCAATTGAGCAGCCCCAACACTAATACAAACCTAGTGAATTCAGTAGAATCTCGTTTTGAATCATACAACTTATGATTTTTTTTTTGTAAAATTGGAATTAAATTTACTAAGAAAGAAATACTAAAATGGTTTCTCTGAAACAGTCTAAGACATTATGCAACTGAGTACAATTTAATCGACCGTGTATCTTGGGCCGGGTTTAAAAGTTATTCTTTTCATGAAAATTGAGCCTCAGACACCCATATTAGTTTTGGTTGTTTAACCTGTTGTTGAGGTAATTCGATCTCCAAAAGCACCTTCCACATAGCGTATATAGAAACGGGCGCACGCCACTGGCGCGAAGAGACGTTTTTCAGCGCGCGACGTCAGAAGACGCCCGGCGAATATCGTCGCGACGGCCTTGACCACATAAATTATCTGTCGGATTTGTCACCGCATCAGTTAATCGCGATTAATTAGTTTTAATTAGCTAATCGCCAGATGGCGCGATCGTTGGTTCTCGGAATCGGCGATAAATCGCGGCCACCTCAGCACTTGTGATCGGTGATTTGGTTTTTGTTGCAGATATCCCGGCAGTCCATAGACGCGTGCAAAGATTACTTCAGGGACGACTTGCTTAAGACGGACTGGCAACTGATGGTCGAACTTAAAAAACTCTTCCAGATTTTGTAATAAATACAACAACGTCGACGGTATTTTCGATTTATCGGAGATTTTTTTGCGTTTTTCCTACACGGGGGAACGCGGGCGAGATAAAGAGAGTGTTATTTACTTAGGGTTCATATACAACTGCATATTAATTTATAAAATATACGTGTATCTAATATCAAACCTGTCTTTAATTCGCGAGGGATGAACCACCATCCATGTCATTTCAAAGATTTCATGGATTTTCCAATTATTTTACGGATTTGACTGCTTTTGATATAATTTTTAGCTTACGTTCAAAACTTTTGTATTCCGCGGTAATTAACAGATATTAAAAATACAATATTTTAAAACCTCTTTTCAAAACATCAAATAGATATATAAACCCATAAAATTTCAAAATGGACATAATTTTTTTCAAGATCCTTCTTTCTTTTTAGATTTAGTAAACTTATTTACTTTATAAGTTGTGAAGAATGTAAATGAGTAAGAGAACTTTTATATAATACACTAACTGTATATAATAATTTTAGGATTTTAGAATAAATTTGAACATTTGAGGTTATACTCTAGTCGGAACATTTTTTCCTATATTAAATGACCTATCCACATAACCTTAATTAAGTAAGTTGCCTCTTAAAAAAGTAAATGTTTAAGAAGACATTTAATAAAGAATTTTAAAATTGCTAATAAAAGTGAGCTGAGCAAATACTCCAAAAGATACCACCAATGAAGTTAATTTCACAATGCTGTTCGTCAATATTATTTGGGGTGCCACCAAATATTACTCCTTAGTGTGCAAATAACTTAAAAATTGTAATTTCATTATCAATTTTAATTATTTTTGGTTAATTTGGTTAATGCTGAAAACTCCAACAAATACAAATATGACACGGATTTGACAGATAACAAACATTTTACAAATTTCACAGAGTTATTATTTGTTAATAGTGGATATTTAGTTGAAATGTTAAGTTCCAGTCTATTATACCGAAAAACAAAAATTAAATATGAATTAGAACAATAAATGGTGCCCTTGTCCTTATCACTGCTCATTCATGTATTACATTGAAAACTGGTTACAAGCTACACTTGAGGACTAATTATTTAAACTTACCTTATCTTTGACTCAACTTAAGTGATTGCAGTTCTAATTTCAACAACTCAAAGTTAAACATATTATACTCGAATCAAATCAAAGCGAAAACAATTCCTTGCTTCGTAATTTATTGATTAAAAAAACATAACCTGAGCTCGTATCTTGAGTACATCGCTGGATTCTATCTGTATTTAAAATGCAAACGTTAACTGAAGTGGTCAAACTTTCGGTTTCTCCCTGTATTTCAAAAACAAAGCCAGCTAGAACTGTTTCAAAAACATCTTTTGTTTCATGAAAATCGAGCATAGTATTGCTAAAATCGCATCACGATTTCTAATAATTACTGAGATACCCAAAAAAACTAAGGAGTAGAACGTAAGGTTGATTCGCGGAAGCGTCAATTACCATTAAAACCAATTTAAAATAGAATAAAAAGTTAAATAATTAGATAGATACTAATACAAAATCGATGGGGTACAGATATACAAGAATTTTTGGATTATTTGCTATTTTCTGTAAAAGAAGTCGAAATAATATTTAATGCAACAAGTGTGGTAAACGGCATTATGGCAAGTGTCATTTTAGGACGTTAGTTTGGTTTCCCACGGGTCTGAGACACTTCGGACATTTCCGGGACATTACCTAACACGGGTTGTTTTGCGCAAGTCTGCCCAAAAACTAACGTTAGTAGAAAAAATGTAGTATGCAACATGTTTAGTAAACTTTTAGTAAACTCAAATGACTCAAATGCCGTTTATCACACGTGTTGTATAATATTCAAATTACCAAACGTGTTGCATACTGTACTTTTTCTACGACTGCTAGTTTTTAATTGGTACATTTTTGCAAAACAACACCAATACATTCAACAAGTTCGGTAATTTTTTTAGGTCACTTGTTTATTAAACACTCGTTCCGCTCGTGGCAAATAAAATTGTGACTCAAATGCCATTTACCACACTTGTTGCATAATATAATAATAAGAAATATGTTGTATAATATATACTTTTTCAACTACTGTGAGTTTTTCATTGGTATATTTTTGAAAAATAACTCGAATACATGACGTGACCGTCAGAACTAACAAACGTCAAAATTCAACCATCTGATTGCTCCCAATATGCCCGTAATGTCTGAAGTGGCTCGGATCTGTGGAAAACAAAACTGACTTAGCAAAAAGAATTATTTATTATAAAAAAACAACTTAGTAAGTAATCATGAGCGTAAATACTTCACTAAATGCTTCCGTGAATCCACAATAACTGAGTTGAATGAGGAGCAGGTTTGGAAGCAATCGGATGTTTTCGGAGATATTTCGCACGCCTTGAATTTTGACGTTTGTCAGTTCTGACCGTCATGTCAGTGAATGTATTAGTGTTGTTTTGTACCCAAAAACTAACGGTCGAAGAAAAAAAATAGTACGCAACACGTTCGGTGAACTCATTGAAGTCACTCGTTTATTAAACACTCTCTCCGTTCATGTCAAATAATCACGTGACTCAAATGCCGTTTACCACACTTGTTGCATAACATGCGGAAAGTGTCATTTTAACAAGTCAGTTTCGTTTCCCACTGTTCCTAGGCAGGATATTTCCGGAATATTACTGCACGGTTTAGGAACAATCAGATGTTTTCTGAGATATTACCGCACGGCTTAAACTTTGACGTTTGTCAATTCTGAATGTATTCGGGTTTTTTTTGCAAAAGTATATCCAAAAACGAGAAACAGTCTAGTATGCAACACGTTTGGTAATACTATATTAGGCAACAAGTGTGGTAAATGGCATTTGATTTATGATTTTATTTGCCACGAGCGGAGCGAGTGCTTAATAAACGAGTGACTTAGAAAATTTACCAAACGTGTTGAATGAATTCGTGTGGTTTTGCAAAAATGTATCCAACAACTCACGGTCGTAGAAAAAGTATGGTATGCAACAAGTTTGGTAAGCTTTTTAAGTTGTGCCAAATAAACTCGTCACTCAAATGCTATCTACCACACTTGTTGCGTAATATACTATAAAGCTATGTCGAACGATTATTAATGCCTTATCGGTTTTATTTTTCGAGTTTTTTTTTTGCTAGTTTGGCTCTGCAACTCAGGCAATTTGATCAGCTTACATATACCAAAAGCAATACTCCAAAATTCCTGAAAGATGCCTTCACACAAAAAAAGTATGTTTATTCAGTAGTATAAATTCTATACAAAGCGGATGCAGAAATTATGCCACGTAGGATATTTGATCCCATCTGACTTGGATAGCAGCGTGAATATTGGAAATCCGGAAAGCAGGCAGTAGGTCTTTGATAATCCAATTAGTGGATAGGATGATCATGAGGTTATGTTTCGTATAGTTATGTGCTATAATGTTCTTTCACGTTTCGGTAATTCTCTCGGTTTTACGCAGTGGAGAGAACGATGAGTATACTCTTTCTTACAAGAATGTCGGTTGTCACAGATCATAACAACTCTTTCTTTTTAGAAGCGTTCTGTTAGAACCGAGAATAGGGGCCCAGGCATTTTCATTCAACCATTATAGTCAATTCAAAAAAAAAATCTCCGAGTAAGCCATTAAAAAATATTGCAAACGTTTTACGTTTGCCGTTAAATAATAAATTATTGAGCTCTAATCTCATGCGGGCGACGTAAAATTTGAATAACGGGTTATTTTTGGCCGGACGAAAACGGAAAAAAAGTGGGGGCCGCCCCCAGCGAGCCGACGCACAGGAAGTGTGGGCCATAAAAATTTAGAAAACAGGGACGCGTGGGCCGCCGCTGCTGGCAGGATGCTGATCGCTCGGTATTTATTTTCTTTATTGAAATTATCGCCCGATATTGCTGCTTTCGAGAACGGAGATTTTTCCGGATTTTGTAAGGGACCGTGCCGCGCGAAAAGTTGCCTTGCAACAACATGAGTTGTCATTTTCTTGTTTAAGAAAAAATTGTCCAAAGAACGTAACGTGTGTCGCATTTTTTATGGTTTTACGACGTAGCTTCCTTATTAATAAAGCTAGGATGTGCTGACATTCATGACCCAAAACCGAAATAATTGAAAAAATGCATTGAAGTTTATATTTATCTATTTATTGATTGATAAATATATTACGCATTAACTGTTGTAGCGAAATAAGCTACTTTCCGGATGAGTGGAAATTATCAATAGGGAAACCCAAGGTTTCTAATCCAATGACGTATGATATCCTTTCGATAAGCATTCTTCCAGCACTTTCAATATTATATAATCAAATGTGGTTTTAAAAAGAAGTCTGGGATATTAGTGGCATTGCTTAATGTATTATATATTTTTCTAGCTTATGATAAGATGTGCTGTTAGATTTCTCCAAAGCTTTCGATACACTCAATCAGAAACTTCTAATATCAAAGCTAAAATATTATGGATTTTCTAATGAATCTTTTACTCTTATTTCATCGTATCTGAATAATAGAAAAATAAGGTCCTCAAGTAACAAATTTTGGGATCAGAAGCAAATACTCTCTGGGGGTCACAGGAGTCCATTTTAGGCCCTCTGTTATTTATTGTATATTATGTTTTTTATTGTATATTATTAACATATTCAGTAGTAGAAATTCTATACAAAGCGGATGCAGAAATTATGCCACGTGGAATATTCGATTCCATCTGACTTCGGACATTCTAAAAGCATTAACGTGCTATCAAATTCATGCGTTTGTCGACGATACACAAATGTATTATTGTTTTGATGATGATGATCTTTTGGAGGTAGAACAAAAGATAAATCATGATAGGGATAGGGCGTCATCATCAATTTCTTTTTTAATTTTCTTGTGTACTATATTATTGTGATTATTATTATATTGTGAGTTAAGTCGCCTTCGCGTCGTTCTGAGAACTAAAAGTATCGTATTCGGGTATGCCTTAAAAAGTGTTATAGGTAAATTGGACATCACAAACGTATAATAATTTATTATAATTAATTTTATTGTTTATTGAATATTATTTATTATTATGGACAACTGTCAATTGATCATCCCCAACACTACTCGTAACTCGTTAACTTATCGAAAAAGTGAAAACATATCCTTATATGGTTTTTCAGTAGCGTACTCTTTTTCTCAAACTCAGAAATTTTGGTTTATAAACTGAACTTGTGTTTTTTTTTCGAACAACTTCTATGTCTAAAAGCTATTTGAATTAGAACTCAAAAATCTTATTTTTTATGAGTAGGCCATGGAAAAAGAGATTAGTTCTATATAAATTACATATATGTTTTATTACAAAAAGTAAGTTACCTATTAAAATAAACTTGTGTGTGTGCAATATTAAA